GCTTTAAATTTATTGAACTAAAAACAAGCACACACACACACACAAACAGAATCTATATTGTTTAATTGGATTTTTATGTTATCCTGTTATAAGTTTTTCCCTTTTTTCTCCCTAACCTCCCACCACCACACCGATCATATTTGTACCCTTCAAGTTTATTATTATTTCCTGAAGAATATATCTCTATGATTACATATTCTAATATTAGAAATGAAAGTTACATATAATAAACTGTTTTCTTTTTTTTTTTATTTTATAGTAAATTAAGTCCTATAAATATAATTATGACAAGCGAATGAAAGAAAAAAAAGAAGAAACACGAGTTAAACAATTATGTACAGAAAAGCAATTGAACTTTCATTCATAGTTAAATATGATAATCAACATATATGAAAGTCAATAAACAAGGGATTAAATTCATTTATTAGGTCATTTAATATACACATATATATAATAGAAATGTTTTGTCTCTGTAATAAATGACAGATTACTTTAATGATTGAACTATTAAATGAACAATGTTTCAGGGATTAAATTTTCTTTTTCTTTTCTTTCTGTAAATAATGATGATAAACCATTTGGTAAAGAACATTGAATACAATACAAGGTTGAAATGAATTGTTCATTAGCCATTAATAGTAATTATCATTATATGTTAGTGTAAAAAAAATAAACAATCCGAATTGCGATGATTGTTTACTCTTTTCATTGAAAAATTATTTGGTGTTTTTAGAAACCAAACTGTTATGATTTCAAATAGAATGATAGTTTATGGTCTTTGGAATTCGTTGATAATTCACTGAATATCTTGATTTATGATTAAGTAAATCCAATGATCTGAAAGTTTTGTGTGTTTGATAAACTACAGCAATCAAAAAAGGCAAAAAAGTATTTTAAAATGTAAATGTAAAATTTGTCAGATCACATTTGATATTGTAAGTATAAAATATTTTCAACATATCACACTCATTAAATTAAAAATTGACAATTCTGAATAACCCTTGTCTTTTAAATTTGATAATAGTGTTTTTATACGCAAAGATAGATGGTATCTAGTAGTGGAATGCAGGGCTCGTGTTTCGTTCTATTTGGGACTCGTCAGATGGATACACCTGTATCTCACATTTGATGTTCACTTCGGGACTTGAATCCAGTACCGTTCGCTTCAAACGCTATCATGCTAACCAGTCAGTTACTGATTTCTGATAGCCTCGAGCTTGTGTAATGGAGCGAAGTTAAAATCTGGCGAGTCTGCACAGGATATACATATGCCACTAAGAAACTGACCAATTCCAGACCTAAACATCAAAATGAAGATTCAAATAAATAATACGAAATGATTTTAAGCGTTATTATACACTGAAATAATTACAATCCTTATGTTTATGATTTAATCACCTGAGCGACAAATCTTCTATTCACCATCTCAAAGAGTATAATAAATGACATTATAATACTTAATACTATTTAACAAACAAATGCTTTGCCACAATAACTTGAAGATGTTTGAAATAGATAAGTGTTTGATATCCATATGAGCTTCGGTACACTTTAGTAAACTTCAAATCAATAAAACGATATAAATATAAATAAATAACCGCAATTATGAAATTTTACTATTTTTTTTTACTAAGTAAATATATGAGAAGTCATTTTAAACTATTGAAAGTGAATTGATTTCCTGAATCACTTTAAACATCACTTATTTACTTATATAATTATTCGATATAATATACAATGTAGTGCAGACAAATGTAATTTGATCCAATCAGGTTTTTTGCTCATTTAAGTGTTTAATTGTCTTTACAAAATATGTATATCCCAATAAGAGTTAATTTGGTTATTTTTTTCTGATATTGACTAATTGTTTGATAAACTAAGATGTTTTATACAATTTCCGATTGAGCACCAATGTCATAGTGTCCAATGTTGTTTTACTGATCAATGTTTATGTCTACTATGTAATCAGTCAACTATAACGTAGGACTAGGCACATAAATGCATCAGTCCTAGTTATCACATCTCATTAGCACAATAAAATAAACATCAAATTCATAGAACTAGTCATTTTAATGGTAGTAATATATAAAAGAAAGATTGTGTATAAGGATATAGTACAAGAAGATAGAAATGGTTCTTAAAAAGAAAGGCATAAAGCAATTTTAATCTCATGGTTTAAGCGCCCGATTTCCTATTACAGACCAGCTTTTTTATTTACTATGTAAATAAACTTAGATATATCTAGAATGCCACTTAGATGTGCTCTCTGTAATTTATTTATATGATGTATTGATTAGTTTTATTCACTCTTATCCAGTGAAATGAAATATAAATCATTATTTGACATGTTAGATATTTCAATCAATCAATCAATGTTCCAAATCTCTATAGTAAAAACAGTATGGTTTTTCAGTAATTATCACAAAATAGTGATCATTTAATTTCTTATGTTGTTGAATGTATATTTTACAATGAAAAAAATGTTTAGAGATTTGAAGTGATAAATACTTACTGTTTTATTTCATTTACAAATGACAAGTTATGGGTTGTTGGATGACAGAACGGAACTTTTTATTATACGACAAACAGTCTTATTTGTTTCAGGAACTAAAAACTCTAATTCTACTAGGTTTTATAATTTATTCATGAACCAGTATGCAATATTTAACGATGACATTGTATTCTACAACTACAAATCATTTTCAAGACAGTGATTTATAAATTTTAAGCTCTTCAACACTACTGAATCCCTTGTGTAACAAAATTGTTTACATGACTAAGTGTTTATTATAAAACAATTTTGTACATGTTGATTTTTATTCAGATATAAAGTGAACTTTATTAATCCAAACGTCTCCATGACCAACAATGGAGCCATATATATATATATATATATATATATATATATATATATATATATATATATATATATGACCTCATGAAAAGTAAAAATGTAAATTCACTATCTACTTATGAGAATTTTGAATTCTCTTCGTACATTACGTCATATAGTAATATATTTTTATTAGCATAATTTGTATTCTGTTTTATAAATGAAGAACATATCTGAAATCGTGCTTCAAATAAAAAATATAAAAGACCTACTTTTATTTCGTATTATGCATATGAAAACACACTACACTCTGTATTGTAGACTAAGCTGTAACTTATTGCAAGCCTACTTTTAAGGTATTCATTAGAGGGGTGACACATTGATTAAAGTACTTAGGTTTCAACCATTAGATAACACATTTAATCCGCGCTTAATTTATTTAGGTTTGGGTAGCCTAGTAATATCATTAGCGCTTACACAAGTAGTGTGTTTCAAAAATGAGTACATAAACCTTTAGTTCTGAATTAGTTGGTTGGTAAAGTAAGATTCAGCATACTGTTCACAGTTCAAATATTTAAGCTGCCATAGTGTAATGTTACATAATTCCGGTTATTCGTTATATGCAGTTATGGTATAAAAATAAAATCAGTACTCAACAATCACGATTCTCTTCCGTTAAATCTTCTGATTTGCTGATAAGCGTACATTTACATGAAAATCTATTAGAATTCTGGAGAAAATGTCACAAATAATAAAAAACCATCTATAGATACTATCCACTTCAGCTTTTGATTCTATACCAAGACAATGTTTACTTAAAAAGTTAATCAGCGTCAAACCTGGCAGCTGGATAACCAACTGGCTATGTTCCTACCTCTCTGGAATGGAACAGTACACTGTGTTTGGAGGAAAGTGTTCAGAGTCTCTACTGTCTCATGAAGATGTACCACAAGGAGCTGTTCTTTCACCTCTTCTTTTCTCTTTTTTTGCATGATCTGCCATCTTCCACAGAAAACACTTTTGTGAAATATGCGGATGATCTCACTGTATGCATGCCTATCTCTTCCTTTTTACATCCCATAGAAATGAATGAGTTTTTGTCTCGTGTTGATTGTTGGTCTGTTGGTAATGGTCTCATACCTAATCCGTCTAAATGTCAAGCTGTTAACTTTAGCATGAGACATGAACGGCATCAAAACACCATTTTGAGATCCCATAATGCTTGTACCATCGGAGACTGTTTGATAAACACAGTGTCGAAGGTCAATTATCTTGGTGTCACCTTTTCCTCTGATCTCTCTTGGTCTTCTCACGTTTTATTGTTATCAAAGAAGGTTTTCCGTCTGACCTACTACATAAAGGGATTACTCGTCATTTACTCTTACAATTTGTCAATTCTTACATATTACCTACTATTCTTTACTGTTCTCCATTATTCTTTCCCGAGCTTTTGAGAAAAGACTTTGCTGTATTGCGGAGAGTGCCGAAGGCAGTTAGCAAGATGTGTGGTGAATCTTTTGAGGTCATAATTAATATGGTTGTGGATAGACATCCAAAGTCATGCAAACTCCTGGCAGGTGTTATCTTATCAGATACTAGCCATCCCCTTCACTCTTATCTTTCTCCTTGTATATCTTCTGGTAGAGCGAGACGTAATTACATTAAAATCCATGCACGCAAACAAAAGTATAAACGCTCTATAATACCTTACCTAGCGAATATGCTCTGTGACGAACAGGTTGTTAGAGTTAACCTAGTCAATAACCTGCATTCTTAACATGTCTTTAATTTTAAAAGCTGTACAGTTTTTCGGTTTTTTTAAAAAATCTTTTTCTTATTTTTTTGTATTTGTTACTGTGTTTTTGTTGTTGTTGATGTTGCGTAAGTAACTTGTTGAAATACCCTGTGCTGAGAATCCTATATTGTACCAAAATATAATATTGAATAAAGCCACGTGAATGAAAACAACTTCAATCAGCATTCGGAATATATCTAAGCCATATCACTATTCGGTTTCTTCTTATACCCATTGGTTTCTAAAGTTAAAGTTTGCCGGTAAGGCGAAATGACAACATATTGAATTATCTCTTCAGATGCTATATTTCATGATGTTGATCATCATCAAATGGGAAAAAACTAAAGTTCAAATCAACATTTTTTCTTTCAGATTCCATTAGATCGAGAGAAAATTGGAAGTGTGACATTAGTTGTTTTGGTAACGGATTCAATTTCAGCACCAATGTTTACAGCTACAACAACAGTATCTATAGAAATATTAGATGAGAATGATAATGCTCCTGTCTTCACTAATCCTCCAGTAAGATCAGCTGAAGCATCTCAAGGCGATAATGAAAAATTTGCTTTCACAATCATGGAAAATGCCCCACGTTTTACACAGTTAAGCCAGAGATTAGAAGCTAGAGATCCGGACCAAGTAATTAACAAGTTCTATTTCATTGTTCTTTAAATAATTACTTATCTTCCAATTGGTTTTTCCTTAGAAGATGTACAGAAGTTGTCAAAAAATCGGTATTTAATTCACTCTTTAAGCAATAGCATAATAGTCTGAAACCTTGTTTTGGGATTCGGACACTAAAAGTTTATTTACGAATGTTTATGTAATATCGCAACGAGCAAAAAATATTAGATTTTCTGACGTTTTGTGACTCAGTGTAAGCCACTTTATTCGAAATTATCAAGTCAAACCTGAGTAATAATACCTACAAACCCAGATATTGTTGTTTGACACTGTTTGATTAATATGCTTTATTGATTAGACTGTCTTCTACAAATTGTCAGTTGAAGGTTAATGGATGAATAGTTTTGATTAATTCTAACATCAGATTTTGTTCTATTTACCATAATTAAATGAAAATATCTCACAAGTCAGGCAAAATATTATGAAAAAAAGAAATTTTGACTACAACAACTCTCGTTTTTTTAGTTTTATCAGACTAGTGAAATAAATCCAAAAGTATACTGCAATTAATCATTTGCATAACCTATGAAAAGTCCTTGTCTTCTTATAAAATTTACTTCACATTTTGTAAAAAGCATACCAGCATCAGGTAAGTAGAGTGTTCACTGTCACCTTCTCACTTCAGTCATAGGTAGCTAGATTAACTGTACATTAATTTAGAAGACAGTAGATCACTTTGAAGTTCATACTTATGATCAATAACTTTTCAGAGTAAATCCACAAAATAATATAATTTCGACATCTTTTATCATTGTTCACAGATCTGATTACCATACTGAAGATATCTCTTCCATTTTTTTCAGGGCGATAATGGAAGAGTTCAGTTTTCTTTGCTAGCCACATATGCTCTTACGAAGTCACCAAGGCGAAATCAATTTATTGGATCCTCACCAAATATGTTGACTAGTTTTGAACATTTCATTGATAGACCAGGATCAAATCTCAATAGTGAAGCCGGAATGACACGTCACGTGGTCGATCAGCCTATATTCCGAATTACGTCAAATGGAGTAATTGAAACGTTAGTTGAGCTAGATAGAGAAACAGTACCTGTATATATACTTAAAATTGGAGTTCGCGATCGTGGAGCTCAGCCACTTGCAAGTACAACGATGTTAAGAGTAAACGTACAAGATGCGAATGACAATGCTCCTGTTTGGGTTTTCCCCACACCTGTGGATAGAACAATTAATCTAACCACTGGAATGAAACCTGGAAGTTTAGCTGGCAGACTTAGAGCAGAGGATGCCGACTCTTTCGAAGCGGGAAAAGTTGAGTATCTGTTTCTTGGACCTCGCGGTGAAACAATCGATGGTGTTACTTTAGAGGATGGTCTGCTTAATGTTCTCAATCCTCCTAAATCAAGCTTAGCAAAAACAGTAAAACCTGGACAAAAGCTATCCTCAAACCCAGATGACTTGAAAGGATATCGTGCTGGTCCTTTGTATTTAAACGGAACAACTGGTGAAATTTGGGTTGCTCAAGCTTTGACATCCGGAACAATAAATCTGCACTTGCGTGCAGAAGACCAGGGAACTCCCCGTTCCCATACAGATGCATGGTTAACTATCAACGTTTTCATCGATCCGAGTGAAGGCATCGGATTTCTGAGTTTTGGCGGGGATGGCACACTAAACGTCACAATAATTTTAGCTATGATAACTGTGACGGCCATTATATCACTGTTTCTAATTATTGGAATAGTTTGTGTTCGTCGGCGACCGACAAGATACACTTTGGCTCGTAATGTCGCTGGAACTGATGGTGGGGTTTCTCCCGGAAATGCAGCCACAAGCTTCTCAATGGATGTTGCTAAAGAAAATATGTCAACAAATATGAACAGTGGTTGGTCTTCACCTGTAGTGACTTACGGTGCAAATCATTTTATACCTGGGCAAGCCAATGGGGGAAACTCGATTATGGAAGACGGTCAAATGTTTACAGCGCTTTATGGGCATGGAGGAGTTATGGGATATGGAGCTGTCATGTCACCAAGCGACACAGCAAGTTTGATTTATGTACCACAAGCCCAAACAACACCAAATATAATAGGGTCCTTAGGAGGTTCAATGACACCAGTACCAGTTGACCTTACGACAACAGGTTCAGATTATCCTTCTCGAAATCATATGCATACATTTGGAGTAAGTAGTTTGCGTTTCTATAAAGTTGGTTGTTTACTTAATATTTAATTTGATTTTCATTTATCGTGTAAAGTGGTCATTTTGTGCATACTGTTATTTTCAATCAAGGTCAACTGCCAATTATTTCTCAGCCATAATTCATAAATATAATGGAACGGAATAGTACATTCGTCAGCCATAACACGGTCGATTTTAACAAGCTAATTCTTCACAGAATATACTTCCTTTAAATGAGTTTCAAAACATTTAGTACCATTTTGGTTAATGAGAGAAAAAGTGACTATTTTGGAAGGTATGGTCGGTACTTTATGCAGAAGTTTAAGAACCGTGGAAATAAAAGAAATCACTGTATCTCTACAATTATCAAACTGTGTACTAGCAGTTTAATTGAAGAAAATGGTCTAAATTACAGCCTTAACTTTTCTCGAATATTTAGTTTCTAACTGCATAAAATTATGAGTTTAAAACGTTCAATTGACCTTAACTTGTAGTTTCCATTAGGGACAAGTTCATCTTAATTTATTTTTCCCCGAACGGAACTAGGGTAAAATGGCACATTTCAGTATTCAAATTTAGCGTGATTTGTAGATATACCATAACCATAATAACCAGAGATAAATGTCATGGCTCCATGTCTAAATGAAGATTTAAATCGTCATCTAGTGAGAGAAAACACACAAACAAAAGTACGATTTAAAAAGAACATTGTTTCATCACAAAATAAAAAATTTGTAATCCATCTGATTATTTCTAATTGTATTGACCAGAAACCAGCAATGAACAGGAATAATTATTATGCGCAAGTAGGATTGATTTATTAAATGCCTGCAAAAAATACATACCAGGAGTCTTATAAAAAGTGACTATAAATATCTTCCATTTACATAAGACTAATTTGAAAGTGTCTACATAAGAGTGTATCGTAGTTGAAGCTCTGAGAAACAGAGAATTAATGGTTGGATAAACTCGTTTTGCCAATCGTAGTTTAAATTTTAATTTTAAGAGTGATATTCTCACTGATTTTTTTCTACCTTGTATTTTATATTTTAAACATATTTCCTCTAATCATATAACTAACCGATAATAGTGTGTTGATTAGTAGCTAGCTTTTAGGTTAGTTTCTGTATATTCTATGGAGGAAATGTAACTGTTGGATTCAAATATGCCAGAGTGAGACTCATATCCACTGACAACTTTCGATAATTGTTGAGTCATTAAAAATGGATTCAAGCCTTACAATATCAGCCACTAGGTATCAACTTGATGGCTTAATATTACTTGCTGTACTTGTTGAAAGACACTAATGTACAGAGTTTTATCTCATTTGAAGTATGTTGCTTGACTTATCGTAAGCGAAAAACTTTAGCTTATATCCAAACTGTATATCAAAAGGAGTAAAGAGATTCTTTTTTGAACGTTACAGAATTCGATAATAGAATTCTATAATTCTTAACTAATAAATTGTACTTCTTATTGGTAGAACACAAAGTACTTCTTTCGTTAGTGTCATTACTACCGTTAATATTGAGAATTAATGTAAAAATGACCGAATGTTGAATTAGTAATTATAAGCAAAGATGGACGGTGGCAAACAGTGGAATCCAGGACGCGTGTTTCGTTCTATTTGGAAATCATTAGCTGGATATACCTGCACATATGCCAATAAGAGGCTTATCGATTGCAGTCCTTAACATAAATGGGAAGTTTCAAACAGATAATGCAAAATGAATTTGAGTTAGCAATGTTTAAATATACATAAATTTAAAATTTATATTGCATGTAGGTTAAACATTTATTTCTCTAGCAAAACTATGAATCGAAAAACAACTGTGATAGATTGCTGTACGTTTTTCTGCAAATAACTACGTAAATTCAGTGGTTATCAACTAACGTTTCTCCTACAAAATCTATAGTTAAGAAGCCAGAAACGCTTTTAGAAACTAGTTTTATACTCAGTTCAAATAACAGTAATAGGAAATAACAAAATCAAAAAAGTTAATAAAATGAACAATTTATCTATTTCAAAGCTTGATACACATTACTTTGTTGTTTGGTTAATTTATTTTATTGTTAATGTAATTGGTGTAAATTACTCAGTCATGTTGTAGTGAAGGAAAACACAGGTGAAGACAACCGAATTATATTTAGCACAAAATTACAGAGTTACTTGGTGAACTAGAAAAACCATACTATAATACTTAATTTGCAAACTGTTCAATAATTGTCTCGAACTTCGTTGTTTTTGCATTTCCATACTAATTGCTTTCTATTCCCGGTCTTGCTTTCTTGATCTTCCCAATCTTCTGCTGCCAGACATTACATTCCTGACTCACGTCATATACTACTTATATCAATATAAGTAGCACGCACCTTAATGTTTCTAACGTGACCTCGGATTGTTTTAAAAATGTAGTGACTAGTCATTCTTTGATCGGTATGCATCACATGACTAAACATTTCCGCAATTCGATGGAAACTCAGGTTTTGGAATGAACAGTTTTAGTAATTTTTTTATTCATATTGTTTTGTACTACTGATTCTTTTAATTGCATCAATTCATTTAAGTTTATCTAATAAAGTCATCGTAGAGTCTTAAACATTTAAAAGAAACTAACAACTGATTCAGTTCAGTTGCAAATTACAGAACAGAAAGTATAATAGATTCACATCGGGACGATATCTGACAGACTGAAATTTTTGATGGGTTTTGCATTCTACAAGCTTAAAGTTTAAGCATTTTTTTGGAATATAGCTCTACAATGAACTTACCTATTTTAGAGAGCCGAACAACATCAAAACATTTACGTGACCGGTAAACTGTCTCCATTATTAGAATCACTGTTATTAGTTCTATTTAATATTGTCATTAATTGACTATATGCTTCGTGTATGGTATCCGATGTGAGGTGGATAAACAAACCGATACTTCTCTATGTTGTTGTCCACCGTTCATCAACACAAAATGCACTAGCGATAAAAAGTTTACAAAATCACCCCCCGACTTGTTTTAAAAAATGGTATAGTGTTGATATAGGCACTAAATTTTTTATTATAAATCTTTAGGATAAAAGGTACCAAGTAACTTTTTGGTAACACTGAGAAATTTTAAATACGAAGAGCTAGTTAAAAACTCAAAACTATTGTGATTAAAACATACATACAAATTCACGAAAGTTTTATTAAAGATAAGAAACAGAAAACAATAAACTTTTAATTTGTTTTAACTGACTATCATCAATAAGATATCTGAGATCTCAACTAATTCGATCATTACAAAAAACTACTTTGGTTCTAATCTTTTTACATTATTGGTCAAAATGCAAATTAAGCAACAGAATTCAATAAACACTGAGGAATAAGTAGACTGGTTCTGACTGTTAGCTGGTCACCATGTAATTTATTCACAAAAAGAAATATAGAAGGTTAAACATATCTCCTCTAGTGTCGGTTACTATGGTAAACCCAATATAACTTATTATAGCTTCTGGACGGGTCAATTTATCTATCTTTTCGTCACGTTTTGGCCTTTTTAATTATTCACTTATCGACCTTGACCGTTTTTATGTGTGTGTACATCATATCCTACTCATCATATGTCTTATTATTGTATGACAAATATTGATTAACGCTTAACTAAATGGAGTTGGCTCATAAGCCTTCTTTACCGCGCATCATTTCTCCTCGTTCCTCTGATTGTCGTATTTGGCTTATTTAATTCCGTTATTCACTAACGTGGATTGAGTCGATAATTATATACGAGTATTGACGACATATATATATTTCGAAATGTATATCTCAATAACGATCAATCATACAATCCAATTGGAGTTATATTCCATGCCACTAAACCACTATTTACTGTTCACAATAGGTCCAAAATACTGGATAAAGTTTCAATATTCACAGTTCTTTGTGGTTGAACAGGGCTGTGTTCAACATTTATTTCATTAGAAATCAATGAGATTTATATCACAAAATACCTCTTCATCCAAAAAAGAATTACTTTAGTAATCACGTTTTTTTCATTACTACAAATAAACAAAATTATTCAAAGTTTTTTTCTTAGAATAAACCAACAACTTCCTTAGCCATAGTATTTCTTTTCTTGTTATTAATAACTACATTCTGTGTTTTTCTCTTATGTTGTATGACTTGATTTCATCTATACACTACATTATTTTAAAAATACAGGAAAAAAACAAATGAGAAAAGTTAAAATCATGAGTCAGTTAAAGCTAGACCACCATGGAAAACCCTCAAACACTGGACGGCCGTTTCGTCCAAGTATGAGACTTCTCAGCAGTGCGCATCCACAATCCTGCCCTCCCCCGCGAGATCCGAACCCAGGACCTATCAGTCTCGTGCGCGAGTGCTCAACCATTAAACCACTGAGCCGGCATACAACGGTGTTAATGTCTAACTTCAACTAATCTACGAAATTGCGCCACCGTACACCATTGTCTTCAGTGAGCTGATATCTCACAACAGACCTGACTGAACTCCACTGGTCACGGCTTCTCACTAGAATCTCCACAAAACCTCTTCTGAAAAAAATAGTGTAAATAAATCGAGAATTCATTGTTAATAAATAGAATTATAGAGTAAACATTTACTTAGATAGTAAGATACATTAATACATCCATCCTGTTCGAATTCTCAATAAGAAATTCAACATTATAAATCAAGAGTTCACTGATCAATCATTGTTTTAATAGAAATCAATAAAATATATCCTTCTAGTTATATTAGATTACAATACTTAGCGAAATAATCAATATTGTAAACAACTTCATGTATAAGTTTATTAATTTCAACATTTGTTCATTTATTTTATTTTGTTTATTCATTTTCTCTTTGTTTTTCTTTCTTTTTTTTTTTCTCTGAAAATACAAATTGATTAAGTTCAAAAGTTCGATTACTTATTTATCCATCAATCATGTAATATTTAACATTGTTTATTTCATAGTATTTTGTTTTCTTCACTTTCCTCTAGGAAATGAGTTTTATGAATATTCTACGTCTATTTTAACTTCAACTAATAAAAATAAATAGGGAAAAACAATTCTAAATTGATCTAATTTGATTTACTGTGTAAAAGAAAGTTGTTTTTTTCCCTCACCTTTTGATAGACAAACTATTTAAGTGAATAAGAGAAGAATAATGTTTGCTTGAGTCAACATTCAAAAACGCTTTTTTCTAAAGTGGATTTCAAAGAATAATATAAATAATCACCATGTAGTGTCTTAAATTTTTTAAGTGTCTGTAAGGAATACCGGTGTGGGGCAAGGTTGCTTACTATCACCCTTTCTCTTTCTCTTGGTGATTGACTGGATCATGAAGACATCAACATCTGAAGGGAAGCACGGGATACAGTGGACATTTAGGATGAAGTTGGACGATCTGGACTTCACAGATGATCTGGATCTTCTATCCCAAACGCAACAACACATGCAGGAGAAGACTATCAGTGTAGCAGTAGCCTCAGCAGCAGTAGGTCTCAATATACACAGAGGGAAAAGCAAGATTCTCCCACACAACACAGAATGCAACAATCCAATCACAATTGACAGGGAAGATTTGGAAAATGTAAAAACATTTACATATTTGTGCAGCATCATTGATGAACAGGGTGGATCTGATGCAGATGTGAAAAGGCGGATCGGCAAAGCAAGAGCAGCATACTTACAATTGAAGAATATCTGGAACTCAAAAAATCAAAAAGTCAGAATTTTCAATACAAGTGTCAATGCAGTTCTATTGTATGGGGCGAAAACCTGGAGAACTACAAAAGCTATCATTCAGAAGATCCAAGTGTTTATTATTAGCTATCTACTCAAAATACTTCGGATCCGTTGGCCAGACACTATAAACAACAACCTACTATGAGAGAGAACGAACCATATCCCAACGGAGTAAGAAATCAGGTAGAATGGCTGGAAGTGGATAGGACACACATTGAGGAAAGCACCCAACTGTGTCACAAGACAAGCCCTCACATGGAATCCTCAAGGCCAAAGGAGAAGAGGAAGACCAGAGGATTCATTACGCCGGGAAATAGAAATAGACATGAGAAAAATGAACAAGAATTGGATGGAACTAGAAAGAAGGCCCATGACAGAGTGGGTTGTAGGATGGTGGTCGGCGGCCTATGCTCCATTGGGAGTAACAGGCGTAAGTAAGTAATTAAGCTGTACGGAATAATATTGTAGTGGGTTAGTTCGTTAATCAATCACCTTGATAACTATTATTATTATATAAACCCTTACGTTGTTTGAAATCAGAAGGTAATAAGAAGCAGTGACTACAGTTTATTAGCAGATAGCACAGATCACCAAGCTATATGCACACCGTGCTAATTTGAAGCATATAGGTGAATGTATGTATGCGAGTGAATACAAAGGAAAATAAGGAAATAAGGAAAAATAAGCCGCAGGTTGGTGAGGTAAAGGCTATTAATAGGATTCAAGCACTTACATGGTGGTGCACTTACATAAATGGGAAAGAGAATAACCCGTCGAGCGATATTTAAGCCTGAGAGTTATATACGTAGGCTCTCATGTGATCAAGCATACACTTTTTGTACCCGACATGATAGTGATCATAATAGTACAAAGAAATATGAAAATTTTTACTGTTTGAATAACATTGTCTGTTAAGTAAGTTAATAAAAGGGCTTAACGAAAGTTGACCATAATCGCAATTGATTATAGGAGAGTCGCTTTAATATTATACTGAACAAAACTGAGAATAAGTATGGTTAATATCACATTTTAATATTTTTTCTAGTTAATGTGTTTCATTTGCGTATCCGTGGAATGAACGGTTAGGTGAACTTAGAAACTAATTTTACCCAAAATGACACAAAAAGTGATGTGATCATTGCAAAAAATTGTCTAATATCGGAAATACAAGTGACTATTTTCTTCATTTAGACCTCCATCATGAGGTGACAGATTATCAACTGAACTACTTGTTAAATTGTATTCGTTGTAATTAAAGTATTTTTTTAATTCAATAATAACTGTTTAAAATGATGAAAATAATTTTTATGAACATCCATATTTTAGTTTTCTTTCAGTTGCCATCTAGATTGACTTGTGAAAGTTTTACTCACTCTTGTGTTAAATGCTTAATTTTACAATTAGACATAGAATCTGATAAAATGGTTAGACTATTGTGTTGTCAGCATTCCATTTCATAATTTGTTTATTCCCTAGTAGGAATGAATATTCTTCTTAAAAGATGTAGAGATATTTATATGTCAGCCGAGCCAAATAGTGTAAAGTGAGGCAAAAAATAAATGTATACAGACTAATGAAATTATATTTGTCTTTGATTAAACATTGCTAGTATTTAAATTTCCTATATTATTTCCTACATATATTTCAGACTTTAACACGAACACGTGGTTCAGTTGGTCAAAGTGTATTTGCAGCTCCACCTGGTTGTGCAATCGCTTATGAACCTCATTTAGATGCTGACAGTGGAGATTCAGGCAGAGGTCCATCTGAAGAAGGCAACCAATTTTTATTATCAGATAATTATCGAAGTAAGTAGTTATTTTTGATTTTTAAAACTGATTTGTTAAATTTAACATCAGTAGCATACATTGTAAGCTATTGAAACTCATTTTACTTTTAAACACTGTATTTGGAAAACGTATCACACAAAATTGAACATTCATTTGATATTTTAATATATGAATGAAGAATATTCTTTTCAATAATGTCTAGCTAAGTTTTACAGTCATATTATTAATCTACTATGTAACTAAGTTTGAGACAAAATACATAGTTTAAACTCATAACATAAAAATTAAAGATTTTGAAATAAAACAAAATCCATAATGTTGATATGATTAATATACAACGTTAACTTGAATAAGTTTATATGTGAAATGAAATTATAAGATTAATGATTAGAACAAATATGGATCAGATAGAGTGAGGGAATAATAATACAATTGTCAACTCTATCAAATGTTTAGTAGAACATTGTTTTTCTGTATAACTTTATATGAATTAAATAAGAAATAATGCGTTCAGGAGATTAATAGTTATGCTGAACCAATAACAATATGAAGTGTCATAAATATATCGCTTTTTTTTTAAAAAAAAGCGATATAAAATCCTCTAAGTATAGTATAGTAGTGAACAGAACACGGGAGGGGACAATCAAATGTATTTAACACACAATTACAGAGTTATTCGGTAAAATAGAAAAACCAAATAGTAAATAGTTAATTTGCAAAATATCATTCCATCATATCAAACCGGACTGTTGCTGTTGCAATTATCAATCGATTGTCTCATATTTCATGGTTCATGTGTTTTCTTACAAATTCCATTGCGTTCCCGCTCTTCCTTTCTTGATCTTCCCCCATCTTCTGCTGTCATACATTGCGTTCTTTAACTCGCGTCATATACTACTTATATCAATATAAGTAGCACACACCACATAGCCTGATTGTTTCATCACTTCTCTCATTAGAATTATGTAACCGTATTTCATGAAGACTGAAAACTTTGTTTACCATTTTGTTATTTTTGAGATTTATTCAAATGATAGTATTTCACAAATCTTAGTAAGTAATCAGTTTATTTCTTGTTATCATTTAATAAACATTATTAATCAATAATGATTCTCTTGATTGGATAAACTTAATTACGTTTGTTTTATAAATCAGTAAATAATCCATTGTGTATACCATGATTAATTTTAAAACTTGAAAAAATAAAGCGTTTTGCCGCCTTAATACGCAATAAAACACAATTCTTTACATAAACAGTAGAAATATACTTACAAATGTATAAATATATATATTAAACATGAAGTAGTTATCAACTTAGTCGATTCTAGCAATGATTATCACTGAAAATACAATCTTTTTTGAAACTCGACGATGAGATGGTTTGAACGAATGGCACTTCAGTTCTTCATTGTAATTTGTATACTTACTAAATATGTGCACATTTGTATTTTATAGATTCATCCTGGCCCATATTACATGAATATGATAAATGTTTCACTAGTTAAGGAATTAATTACTTGTACGAAATATTTGTTATTTTGATGTTATATACATTTGAACAAGTAGTGGTTCTATATAATACTATTAATGTGTATTTATGCTGCATGGATCTCACATTAACCAACACTCACTTGATAATGAAAGCGAAAGCAATTTCGAACTAAAGCCAGATTTTTCAACCTCATTTAATGAAAAATAAATAAACGAAAATAAGTAAAAGTAATTTTAACGGTTTTCTAGGCACTTGAACAGCTCAACAACAAAAAAGAAAAAGAAACAATCAAAGTGTTCCATCTTTCCATTTAGTTCTTATTTATTTTATCACTTGAAATGGTGAACAGATTTTATACCAAAAAAAAAGAAGATGAATGAACAAGTGACATTCACTTTCGCTGTTGTTAGTTTCAATAAAGAAAGAAAGAAAAACACTCTTTCTAAGAAAGAAATTTCTTAGAAGAAAAGGTGTTTATATTGTGCGCTATAATTTCAAAAGTCAATTCAATTAAATCAGTCATTCTTTTTCTATTTATGTAATACATTCATTTGATTAGTGAAAATAAAATAAAAAAAAACAAAAAAAAAGAAAAAACAAGGAATTGTTAACAACTAGAACATAGGAATACTTCTAGTAACTGATTAACTTAGATAAATCAAATTATTTCCTATTGTAAGTAATAATGATTTCATAATGAGATAAGAACATTTGTATTTTTGGACTAACATTAAATTATTTATTTTTTGTTTCATAGCAAATAACCTAGTTACAGTAAACAAAATAACTAAAATAAGTATATATTATGTAAATATGTATTCTACTGTTTACAGTGAAATAAGAAAGTGGTTAACTAATTTATAGTTTAGTGAACAAGAAAACAAGTGAGGACAATCGAATGTATTTGAATAAAAAATTACAGAACATCTTAGTAAAATCTGAGAATTATATAGTAAATACTTCATTTGAAAACTGTAAATCAGTCGTTTCAAACTTCATTGTTTTTTTTTCATTTCCACACCAAACATTCTTTGTTCTCGTTCTTTTTGCTTTGATCTTCTTAATCTTCTGCCTACAGGCATTTCACTTCCGATTGATGCTAAATACAACTCATATCAGTCGACATCATTAGCATACACCACAATAGTATGTATATATTATTTACCTGAAAACCATGTAGTGTAGTAAATAGCAAAGACTAAACTTTGTTTCTTAATGGCTTAGAAATTAAATTTAAAGGAAATACTGTCAGTAAAAATATCCGATATGATAGAACTTCTATTTACAGTAAGCATCATCTTCATTATTATATATTTTATTTGAAACAATACAGAAATTCTGAAGAAACTAATACGAAGGAAAACTAGAAGTTGACTAGAGCGTCTAACGATGAACTGTTTATGATGCTTATTTTTATATAGAAAAATAGTATTTTTGTTCATGCAATGAATCTTGATAATCTTCAAATATATAACACAGCTGAAATGTACTTACATAAGTAAATACACTAAAATGTACAACAGAAGATTGAATGCTTTTACTTCAACTAGTAAATATTCGTACTAGAGATTTAGTGCTGTTTTTTGAGTGATAGAATGTAGCCTATCTGATTTGAAGTATTAATACACTGTACTGGATATCCTCATTGACTGATCGCACATGTTATTATATGAAAGTTGTCGTTTAAAGAAGAGTCAGTAAACTCCTAACGTAAACATTTACGATCATATTTAGGACTTGAGATAACCAGCTCTTGCTTAATAACTCCTTGTATGTTTATTTATCTACTTTTAAGTATATATATTATTCTAATAAAATTACCGATTCCATTTTACATTTGACTGCAGATGGCATGAACATACCTGGACAGCACGGCACATATCAGTATAACACGTACTCTGGATATCGCCCAAGCAGCAGAATTGGCTATTACAGAAATCCGAGTTTAGATAACACAGGAAGTTTGACTAAACTCCATTCAATCGCATGTCAAAATCCAACACCAGGCGGTTCATGTGCATGTTATATAGTTTCTGATAATACAATCATTCAACCAGTAGCTCAGTATGGAAATAACAATGGTCCGGAATGACTTATTATCCAGAGCATACATCACCTCAGAAAATAATGCCATCAACGCTGGAACAACAGCAAATGGAACATTCACGAGCTGAACACAGTCTACCTCCCGTACCTCCACCTAGAAGTCCACAGATGCCTCATCTACCGTCACATTACGTAAAATTACACAACAAATATGCCATCAGGTCTCTCGAAATATAGTGAATCTTCCGCTAAAATGAATTCGAGTGCTTCAGGTTTATACCCACATTCGGAAAATAACCATGAATTGACGCATTCAAATAACAATTTTGATCATAATGGTTTTAATCAACTAGACGATCAGTCGTCAAACATAATTCAAACACCACTAAGAATTGATTTAAGAGGACAGTCTACAACAGATTATAATACATCAGAAAATAATTATGATTCAGCATCGAAACAACATCGATTGGTAAGAAATGGTTTAAGTATTGGTTTACCTCCATTAGCTAGTAACCATGCATTAAACCAACCAGTCAATATTCAATCTAAACAAAAATCAAATCCTTTATCAAATCCAGAACTTCAACTAACAGTATAAATAGCATTTTCTTGAATGCATTTGTTATTTTGTAATCATAATAACATTTTGTTAAAAATTTTCATTTCAATATTTCTCAAAAGTCAAATCTAGTTCATATATGTAGTAATCACAAACATCTTTTCATATGATTTTAAAGAAAATATTTTCTTGTATCAAGAAATTACCTCATATTCAACTTTCCTGGATCATGTTATGAAGAATCAACATCTGAACATAAATACACAATTCCTTACTCATTTGGCAATAAAACGTTCTATTTGAATTATTCATTGTCACTAAACGTGAAAGAAGAAGCGGAGAATTATACATCCTCACTTTTATACTTTTAACGTTTTTCAAATTGTGTGAAAACATTAAACGTAAACACAAATTAGTCTCATTTTCTATCTATAAATAGATTCTAAAGCAAAAAGAAATCTATCAGAATACTTAATCAACTGGTTTAATTGAAACTGCTTGAATCGTTATACAAGTTTATTATCTATGTAGATATATACATTATATAAATACTTTAAGATTCCTTCTTGGGTTTATATTATAAATTCTAAATATTTTCTGACGCTTTTTTTCTATTAAAAAAAAGACATAAGTAGAAGACAGAAAGAGTGTTGGCCAACCAACAAATATTGAAGAAAGCAATATAAAAAATACCCCCCCTCAAAAAAAAAACTAGATTAACACATCACCGTAACCACCACCATAGCAACAACCATTAAAATATTAACAAAGAAAATTTTTTTTTAATTGACACAAAATTTATTATGTATTTCTAAATTTAAAAATAGAAAGAAAGAAGTAAGTTATATAAAGTATACTTGTATAAATACACTCGGAAGTAAATAATACATCTAAAAACCGTCAAACATTTTACTCTTGATAAATAAGGAATATATACATTTCATCTTTGGTAATCCTCTTTGTTTTCGTTTTTTTTAGAAGAAAAACAAAATGTTAGGATAAAATATTCTGTACGATTGTGTTTTACTATAAGTTAGTCTAAACTATAAAATTTCAAATTGACTATTTGCACTTGTGCCCTGTTTTTTCCCTCCTCTCTCCTCTCTCCTTAATGCATGTGATCTTAAATTTGTTCTTTTTAGCTTCTTTGCATGTATGATAAGTAAAACATATGAAATAATTAAAAATTACATTGGTATATACTTATACATAATACAACAAAATGTTCACAAATGGTTACTCTTTTCAAATACACCTTTCTCTGCATATATATACATATATATACAACAAATGTAAATAAATTTATTTTGAATGGTGATATATTTTCTTCAAAAATATATATATATACTTTATCCACTTGATATGTTTTAGTATTTTCATTAGTTTCTAAGGTATTATTTTTTTTGGCGGATATTTGTTTAATATTCAGATAATAGTTATAATTACACACATAAACTATTGAAACCAAAGTAAAAATGGATGATTGTTTTGTTATCATTTTGTTTATTAACTATTTTTCTTGGAACAGTCTGTCAAACTATAATAGTGAGTTAGAAACTTTAGAAGTAAGTGAAGATAATCACTATAACTATGAGATATTCAATAGTTTAAATTTATTAGCATTTTTGACAAGAGTTAATTGTATAGTTGAAATAATAAAGAGAAGGTGTATAGTCGTAATTTTAAACGCCCTTTTTTATGAATAGCGATATACGCATATACAATAGGTTTCTGTTACATAACAAACTATGTCTGCGAAAACTCACTTCCATAAGCAGATGTCAGATGATAGAATAAATGCATAACATTATATTGAAAAGTATTTGTAGAATAAATAGAAAATTCACATCAAAGATCCAGAGAGAGTAAGATTGTAGTTGGCTTTGCGTGATAATGATGCATATATAACTACATAAAAAGTGAGTAATAATTGAGGATGATTAAAATCAAGATTGAAAATAGAAGATAATCTTTAACGCATTTATGAATAAATAAGTATCTAATTCTTTCACGGTAATAAATAAGATGGAAATCTAAAGAACTCCGCTATCATGACTTCATTATTACAATTGATCTGTAGCTGTTATAGAACATTTTCGTATCTTATGGTTAGCTATATAATACGACAGTTTAACACTGAAATTTGTATGTTCTATGTGAACGATATAACTAGCTTTACTAAAACATCGACTTCGTGAAATTTGACCAATGAGAAATTTATGCATTTTTATACAGTAAAATTATTCTGTTTTCGAAAGTACCACAATGTTCTTTATGTTTTTCACAAAATAAACTACTACATAAAGCCTATTAGTGAGAACAGTGCAACCTAATTCTTTGACTGAACATTGCATTACTTGACCTATACTGGAAACCTAAAGCTTATACCGGAAGTAACACTTTCCATCGAAAATTCATTAGAATAAAAAAAGTCAAATAAAAAGCGAGTATCTTATTGGCAGGTTATATTTCTTAGCATCATTCATTTATATTGTCTAACGTTGCGCATAACACTTCAGTTTATACTCTAGTCGTGATTGCTTGATCAATCACTAGTTTGCTATAACTACATTTTGATGATATGGGTCAAACAGAGAAATATTGATCATTTATTCTTTTTGAGTTCCAGATCTTTACATAGAATTGCTATTAAAAACTGGTGTAAATTGAAAACTATTCCTAATAAACTTGAACTAAAAATTCAGATATTCATATACATGAACAGAAGATGAAATTCCAATGGATGATGTTGTCATTCTTTTTAATCCTTGTGAGTTTCTTTCAGATTGTGAGATATAATTCGAACTAACAAATAACTAGTTTCTAACATCCTGTTAAATATAGATAATAGTCATAATCTTGAAGCTCATTGTGAGTATTTGAAGAAATTTATTAACCTTTCCAAGTCTAAAATACCGTGAATTCAACTAAATGATAACTTGATATTTTCCAAGAAAAACTAAATCACTTTATTTTGACAAAAAGCCAAGTGATTCAGCTGTGTACTATAAATAAAGCAATAGATACTACTAAAGATATGTTAATTATCCCTTTTAGCAACAAAAGTTCGTACAGGGTACCAAAAACATTTAGTTTAGATGAATTAATTTCAAGCCTTGCTGTTTAGATGCGAATAACACGAGTACACACACCAAATGACCATGACTAATTTCTACTTAATAAATCATATATTCTACTGTACATATTACCAAGGGAAAATATTTATCACCAAAAGATGTGATTGCTTAATCATTTTTCTTACTTTTCTGTTTCGTTCAATGTATTCATTCACTTTTGTATATCACAATTATATACAATAAATATTTTGCTAATACATAGAAATGACCTGTTAGAATAATCATACTACTTTGTTAGTTATGACAAAGGCCTTGGATTTCTTATGTTATATTGATAAGAAAATTCACATTTGGAGACAATAGTTCGTTTGCTAGTTATGTACAAGTTTAAGAATTTCAGAAGAGTACACATTGTATAGATTATCAATAATATAAAAAGATGTATAATGCTGATGTAACAGTTACTTACTAGGTACCGCAGATTACGGATGATATAAAAGATAATAAAGTGTAAATAAAACTCGAAATATGAAATCAACATGTGAATACTTTTAATCAACCTAAAATTACATTGAAAATTCTATGGATCTTTTACAGTGATTAGTTAAATCACAGCCGAAAATATATGTACAATAATATTATCAAGACTTCATAATAGTTCAAATAAAAGTGTGCAGTAAATAAATCATTGTATAACCCTAATCAATCAAGAGATTGGAATATTGATTTTGAGCTTAGTTACTTATGATATAAAACTTTAATAAATATCCGGTGTAAAAATAACTTTAAAACGACAGAGAAAGCAACTGTTTGATCCTTAGAACATTCCATATCATTGTGATATTTGTGCTACATTTATGAATATAAACATTGGAATTTCTTAATAGTTTTCTTTCATTTTTTTTACTAAAAAAGGGATTGTAAATTAGTTTACTGACTAGTTCAATAAATATACAGGAAGTAGATTATTTAAATCATATACTCAATATTTTGATTACAAAATTAGATAATATGCCATTAGAAATATATTACATAACCAATGTTGAATAAATGTAAATAGTCATTTTGATGTATATTGAGATGATTAAGTTTATAGACGCCATTATAATCTATATCATACCTCAAAGAGGAAGAATGTATTTGTGAAATTTCAGCGAATGAATTTGAAGTAAATCCAACGTTTCGTCTGGCAATCTGGTCCAAGCTATTTCAAGGAAAATATAATTAAACAACAAAATTATCGAATATAAACAGGTATATGGTTCTCTGGTTTACTGTATACTGAATAAGTCATCCAATCAAGGTTAACAATGTTTAAAGTATGTGTTTACATTAGTGTGTAAGAGGTATGTGGTGTGAAACGAAAATTGTTAAGATAACAGATTGTGTGTATACATAAGTGATGTGAGAAGAAATTTCTTTCAACTATATATTGTCTTCGGTCTGTGTCTATTAAAAAAACATCATTTTATATATGATATGAATCAAAAATGCCACAGCATGCATAAAAAAGAAAAAATTATTCAAACCTTTTAAACTCTACCCCGGGAGTGAGAAAGTCTTCATTTAAAAGAACTATGACGCCTCATGATGAAAGCGAATTCCTCCGGAAGTTACGAGGCCAATGGCCCTTCTGACAACCAGAGAAACCATTTATTTAGGTACATGGAATGTTCGTACAATGTGGGACACAGGGAGAGCCTTCCAAATCGCTGCAGAAATGAGGAGATACAACCTAGAGCTGCTAGAGATCAGTGAAACACATTGGACAACGACGACTACCTTCAGAGGAGCCTCTGTTATACTCTGGTCATGAAGAAGAAAATCCCCCACATACACAACGAGTCGCGTTGATGTTATCAAAACAAGTACAAAATACACTTATAGGATGGGAATCCCATAGACCAAGGATCATCAGAGCCTCCTTCAAAACAAAGAAAGAGGGCATTTCAATTAACGTCA